TTACCAATATGAGCAGCAAGTCTGGACTGACACACTGTTAAAAGCAATGTTCTGGTCGGCAGGTTTATTGGTAAATATGACTAATGCCAGGGTAGAAATTTTGTTTGCGCTATCGTATAGCAATATTAACATTCCCAAAATATGTAAATTTTCATTGAAACAAAGCTTAAATAGGTCTTTATTTTCCAAGTGTCTTGGGTCAGAGAATTTGTTTGGTCAATATATTACTGAGAAAGCTTCCTATTTAAAGAAATAATCCAGGAATAAATTTTTGGTGTAAATCTTTCAAATTTTTAATTTTTTCTGATTATAAAAGTAAAATGTACTATGAGAAATTTGGAATAACAAAGTATGTTTTTTCTTGGGTGTTTCCTTACCAGTAGGCTCCAAGGCCCCTGAGGGGTGAGACAACAGTGTTCTTTGGGCACGCGAGAACTACCAAAGTTGATTGCTGGTGGGGGTGGAGGGTCTCTGATAATTGAGCACAGCTACAAACTTACATAGGCTAGGTAGGGGAGAGCTGAAGGGTGTCTCCTTGCAGTCCCCGCCCCCACTTAAGACAGTGTAATTGGCTAAAAAGCCCGACTATTCCTGTAGACCCTCCAGTCATGTCAGATGCACACAGGACAGGTAAGCTGTGCCTCAGGTCATGGGCAGGTAAGCTATGAGCCACACCCACCAGGTAGCAGGCAGAGACCCAGGGGCGATCTCCCACAGGTTTTTATTTTTGTTTTTGTTTTTCAAATTTGTTTATTTGTTTGAAACCAGTTACACAGAGAGAAGGAGAGATAGACTCCAAATGGCCACTAGTGGCCAGCGCTGGGCCAGGCTGAAGCCAGAAGCCAGGGGCTTCATCTGGGTCTCCCACATGGGTGGCAGTGGCCCGCCCACCTAGCTTGGGCCATTGCCTGCTGCTTTTCCCAGATCATTAGCAGGAAGCAGGATTAGAAGTGGAGCAGCTGGGACATAACCCATTGCCCATATGTGTTGTTGGCATCACAGGTAGCAGCTTTAGTCACTATGCCACAATACCTACCTTAAATAAGTACTTTTTTTTACAGAGAGCAATATAGAGCAAAACTATGTATTTTAGGCTACAGACTCACATAACAATTGCTGATTGAACTATTTCCACGAGAAATTTAATTGGCTATTCCACCTTTGTCACAGTTCCAGAATTATTAGCTTGCAGAGTCACTCAAGAAGCATAACTGCTAATTAAACCCCCATCCCCATATCAATTAGCTCTCAAATTTTTCTATTTAATTTATCCTTTAATAAATAATCTATTAGTGCCAGTGCTGTGGCATGTTGGCTAAGCCTTTTTGTCTGGCAATAGCATCCCATTTGGGTGCCAGTTCACACTCCAGCTGCTCCACTTCAAAACCAACTCCTTGCTTATGGCATGGGAGGGCAGCTGAGAATGGCTCTGCATCCACATGGAAGGCTCAGAAGAAGTTTGGCTTGTAGCCAGTTGGGGAGTAAACCAGTGGGTGGAAGAATTCCTTTTTGTCTTTCCTTCTTTTACTGTGTTTCAAATAAAGATAAAATTTTTTTTTAAATGCCTATTTATTAAGTATGGTATTTCATCAAGTGGTAATGCTTTATCTTCTTTCTCTGTTTTTTCAAGTGCTGTGACCACATTGGGCTAGAATGATATTTCCCAGTGTACATTTGATTTTTCAATGGATTCATAGCTCCTAAAGTTTCACATTCTTTAATTTGGCAACCTTCATAAAAGGACATTTGCCAGCCTGATCTCATTCAATTTACTACAATTAGCATCTTAAGCACCAAACAACTTATAGTTCCTTGTTATGTCTCTCTTCTTGCCTTACTTTTGGCATCATGGAATGCCCTCTGTTTCTCCTTTTGTTTTATAATAATATCTGTTTGTCTAATGTTAACTGAAATATAGATGAGAATTCAGGAAGTCCTGCTAATTTTAAATTCAGTTATAGGCTTCTCCAGTGATGCTGTGTCAGTTGTAATAGTCAGTGTGAATACACACACATTAACTTGTCTATCACACTAAAATACAAAGACAGTTGAGCAGTATCAGCTTAGACATGTGATAGATACTTGACAAATATTAAACAGTTAAGTAATATCCATCTGTCTCATTGAAGCATAAAGGAATTGGCATAGTACCACCTCAGGCATGCAATAGAAAATTGATAAATATTTATTGAATAGGCAAATGCTGCTTTGGGTGCTGCTTTTTGGATTTAAATTAATTTTTAGCTTTATACAACATAAAGGGATGATTGGTATAGATCATCAGATTACCTATGAATTCTGTTCATATGATTAAAAGTTGAAGAAGCAGGTATTCTGTAAGTGAAGTGAGAGTTTGTTTAAAAGGATAGCTCTAAGATGATAGGAAGGGCAGTTTGTCACTAGGGACATTAACGGAAAGGAGAATTCCTTTGGGTTAATTAATGAGGAAGTGGCATCAGTGATTTTAAATATCTATCATTGAAAGTTTGATGAAGGAAAATATGAAAAATTCTAAATATTCAGGAAAATTGCAGTATGATTAATTCACTTGTGTGATAGAATCATCATGACAGTAGTTAAATAAATGTCCACTTTGTACCTAAAACCATAAATAATGTTAATATTTTGAAGATATGGGCCAAGTCTAATATTTCTTTCTTAGTGTTTCCTGTAGCTCTCATGATGTATATAATCTTTGATGAATGATTGGTTTCTACTGTCCTTCAGATTACACTTAAAAATATAAAATATTTAAAATATTTTCGATCCAGTAACTATACATTCAGCACTGTATAGCAACTAAGCAATAGTAACATCCATGATAAAATGCATGTGCCAAAAATGATACCTTACATTTTATAACAGTTAACTGATAGAATGTGCAAAGTCTATGTCTACTACTTAATGAATGCTAGTTGCCATTATTAATACTTCCTTTTTCAGTGTTTAGCATTTTCAAAGTTAAAAATAAATCATTTATAGATATTTAAGACATAGTAATGTAAGGTTCTGCTTAATGACAGATGTCTCAAGACGTGAATAAATGAAGGTAGCCATGTTGCTCACCTGTATTCTTTGATTTGGTTCAAATGAAATTTGATGTGTATATTTAGATTTATAATGTTCATGAATAATACTGCCAATGTTAATTTTACAACTGTTTTCTGTTTCCAAACATTTTCTTTCTCATTAAATGATCTGGATCTGATTGGTTTATGCTTCATACTTGAGTTATTCCCTGGTCATCAATTTGGAAATGTAAGGTTTGCCAGGAATACCCTTGTAGTCTCTTTTTTCTGCCCATGTTGTCTAATTTTCACATATTCATACTTTTCTAAAATATGTGTAACGTGTAGAAAAGTTCTAATATACAAAGCTAATTGTGCTATTTAATTTTTTATGTGTTTTTGACTAAAATGTAATATTGCCTAAAGCAAACAGAAGGGTTGACTTGAGAGAAGAGATTTCATAGAAAACAGAAATAGAAAATGGTAGCTGTTAGCTGCTTTTCTTGTTTTAGTTTTTTGAGAGATGTCTTCTGTCTCTGGTTCACTCCCTAATGGCCAGATCAGTGAGAGCTGGGCAAGGCGAGCTGAGAGCAGAAGGTTCCTCCTGGTCTCCTACAAACAGTTGGGTCATCTTCTGCTCCTTTTCCTAGGCCATTAGTAGAGACCAGAATCAGCTTTACTCACTATACCACAATGCTGGCCCCTTGGTGTTGATTTTTTAAATTTTAGCGTATGAATAAGGGTTTATAATATACATATTCATGCACACAGAATCTTCGGTTTGAATGTAAAGTCTAAACAAATAGTGGATATATTCTTTGGTATCACAGGATACTTTTTAAATTGTTTCTAATATTTGTATTTAAGGCAAAATTCTGTGAAAAATATGGTTACTGAAAGTTGGTGTTGAATTCCTGGATTATTTATTATCTTTGTTTTATGTTTATTAACATAGTGTTATGTTACTAACATAGTTTTAATAATAAACTGCTTTTTTAAAAAATATGAGAACAGCATAACATTAGTTAAATACAGCTGTTCTAGTTCATCAGCTATAACATCCTTGAATGTGTTCTCTTAGTTATCCAAACATCCTCTCTTTTTGTCTTTTTGAGTAACAACATATTTCTTTTAATTAAGTGACTTTACCTTACGTTTGTCTTGACTGGCTTTTGTTTACAGAAATTGTAAACCAGTTGAATGCTCTGAGCAGCTTAGATGAAGATCAAGATGACTGCATAAAGCAAGCAAATATGCCTTCAGCTAAATCAGCCAGTTCCTCTGAAGGTCTAAGAGCTTTCCTTCTTTCCTTCTGCTTCTGATTGCCTGTATTTACTGTGACCTGCTTTCTTTTGACTTCAGTCTGTATTTAACTGTCAGTTTTGTCTATGTGCTTTATATATATATATATATATATATATATATATATATATTTTTTTTTTTTTGGTAACTTGTAGTGCACCAACAGTCAAGATGTCAGAACTTATTGTCTTTAGTAAATAAAGTCTTATACCAGGATCCCTAGTATATAGTGATTTCAAAACATCTTCCAAAATAATACTCCGTTGTATAACATAGTGGCATTTCTCCAGTGAGCTTATGTTATAGCTATATTGTTTCAAAAACATGTTCTTTCAGTAAACCCATTTTAGTTATTTTTAATTGGAAGTTCAGGATGTATTTTGTAAAAATTTCTCTCAGCACTTTTTATTGTATCAAACTAATGAAAAGGTCAAAGTTTTTTGGGGTACTTTATTTTCTGATATAGTTTTTAAATTATCTTGCATATATGCTTTTTTTTTTTTTGCTTTGGTTGAAAATGTTGGTATACTACAAAATACTTGAATGGAATTCTGCCTCTGATAAAATACCATATTTTATTATTTGCAGGTTTATTAGTGTGCGTTTTTACAATTTGAAATGTGTCTTAACTGATGGGTAGTTGTATTTAATTGTAACAATAATGGATGAACATGTAATGTTTGTTTCCAGAGCTTATCAACAAACTTAACTTTTTGGATGAGACAGAAAAGGAATTGGCCACTGTAAATTCAAATCCATTTGATGAGCCTGATGGAACATCATTAAATCCATTTGGAGATCCTGACTCTGAAGGTAGCAAGTTTTTCTGTACTTTTGAAGTCTTTATAACATTGAGTTCTCTTAAACTTCAAAGGCATGAAAAAATTTTCTTAAAAAAGTCAAAACATATTTTTATTTATAGTTATATTATTGTGTTTAGTTGCATTGATCCCCAACTCAAGGCAGCTTCCACTAAATTGTTTTCAAATTAAAAGGTAAGTCTTACTTATTTATAGGGGATTAAAAAAAAAAGATTTTATTTGATTTGAAAGCCAGAGTTGCAAAGAGAGAAAGAGATTGTCCAGTTCCAGGATGGCTACAACAAGGCCTAAGCCAGGAACCAGGAGCTTCAACCAAGTCTCCCAGGTGGGTGGCCCAGAGATTTGAGCCATTTTCCACTTTTTCCCCAGGCACATTAGCAGGAAGCTGAGTTGGAAGGGGAGCAGTCAGAGCATGATCAGCACTCATATGGATGGCAGTATTTCAGTGGTAAAACCACAATACTGGAGCCTGGGCTTATTTTTTAATTTAGTTTGGTCAAATAGATAGTAAAAGTCTAATGTTAGAGAACAATATTTAAGCTTACTGAGAGAGTCTAATTTATTTGGCCTACAAAATGAGGGTAAGTTGTAAGACATCCTTTTCTACCTGGATCCCGAGTGTGATGATAGCTCTGTGTCTCAGCCGAGAATCACAGTAGTGAGAATGAACATGAAGTACAAAGAAGGTCAGTCCCCTGCCTTCATCTATATTGTGCTTTTAAAGAATAAAGACCAGGAAATTTCCTCTTTTTTTTTTTTTTTTTGGCATTTTGAGTCATTTTTCTCATCCACTAAATTTGAACTCTTCAAGCCTGGGTAAGGACTGTTGAAGAAGTGAATTTTGTTTAATTAAACTCTTTGCTCAGAGTAAATGCAAGAATGATTAACCTCAGTTTGGATCTTTTTGACTGCTCATATGAAATCTTCATGAGCTATAAAAAATTTTGCTACTGCCTGTTGTGGTAAAATTAGGTTTCAACTTCAGGATTCACTCTGTTAGAATCATATCATTTCTTAATCCTTTTTCTTCTCTCCTTCCTTTAATTTTGTCCCTTCTTATCAGATTTAAAATAAGTTTAAGTTGTAGAGATTTTATTTTGTTTATGAACTATTAAAAACATCTAAAAATATTTTAATAAAAATTTTAATAAATCTTAGATTTAGAACCTGAGGCCCAATAGAATTAACTGATCATTTCAGAACCGAGTAATTTTCTGAATATATGTGCATTTATTTTTTGAGATACAGAGTAACAGGTAAATGTATTTTTTAAGAAAAGGTAAAATCAGTCTGATTCAGAATCTTTATACTTGTGGAAGTTTAAATATTTCTCTTTAAATATTATACATATTAGAGTCTTTGGAACAAGTATTTTCCTAGAAATTAATTTTTTATTGATTAAAACCTGCAATAGGTAAAGAAAAATAATTAGTCTTACTGTGTTTTTTTTCTGTTTTTTTTTTCTCTTTTGCTGTAAGACCTCCAGTTTTCTTCTTAAATTCATTTTTTTAGTTTAGAGATTTAATTCTCTTACATCCATGTGTTTTGGAAACCCTTTTAGAAAGTCATTAAGTGTGTTTGTTATATGGAATATTTATAAAACCCCTTTGTTGCTATTTGTTCTATCTATTGCCTCAATAGTTTGTATATTTTTTTTACTTTGGATTTCACAATTGATGAATTTTATTGATCAATTTTAGCAAATCTTCCTGAGAGTAAAAATGAAAATTTTATTTCTTTTAACTGATTAAGTCATTTTCTTGAGCATTTGAGATCTTATATTTGTTAGTTAAAGGTTGTGTAATAAGTTTTGCACTTCTATAAAGAAAAGAAATTTGTATTTTCATTACTATTATAAAGATTATTAGTGGTAGTGTCTGAATGTTGTCATGACATTACAAAAGTTACTCATAAATCTTCCCTCTAACATGCATTATATTTAAATTCATTTCAGTATTGAGTTATTGTTAATTTATGGATTTTGTTTCATTCTTTATAATTGTTTTACCATATTTTCAGAATGTCAATCCAAATTTTTTTGTTTACATAAAAACAGTAAGCTTTCTTAGCTAAATTAGTTTAACTTTATGCATGTTACTATTAATTATTACGAGAGAGAGTTCATGTATGTGCAGTCCTATTTGCTGATCCATTCTTCAGATGCCTGCAGTGAATGTCAGTGTCAAAGAGAGGTTATGTGCAAAGCTGGGAGTCCTTGAACTCAAATCCAGGTCATTCCAGTAGATGGCAGAATCCTAAATGTTTGAGCCATCACCACTGCCTCCCATGGTCTGCACCAGTAGGAAACTGATGTCAGAAGCCAGAGCCCAGTATTGAATCAAGGTATTCATGACTGGGATGTGGTTGTTTCAACAAGCATTTTAACTCCAAGGCCAAGTAGGCCAGTTGCCTACTTCAGTAGATTGGCTTGAAGATACAAAAGTCAGGCAAGCTTTTACTGTAGCATTTAAGAAGTCTTCATTCCACATCTGAGTATTTGAATTCCATACCCAACTCCATAACCTCTTGACTCCAGCTTCAAGCTGAGGCAGACCCAGAAGGCACTAGCAATGACGTAAGTTACCAAGTGCCTCCTACCACCCACATGGCAGATCTGGATGACATTTACAGCACCCAGCTTCAGCTCCAGCTGTGCTGTTACAGGGATCTCTTTGTCTCTCTATCTACCTCTTTTCCATCTCTATCTATCTCTTTTCTCTCCTCTCAAATAAGTCACTATATAAATTTTAGGTTATTTTGATTCTTTAAAAATGTTACTATTAAGTGTCAATCATGGAATTATCTTTATAATAGATAAATTGAATTACCACACATTAATGGTAATTGTTCTTGAGAGTGTTAATAATCAGTGTTCTGCCTTCTAAAATATTTTGTTAATATGATACAGTTAAAATCATTGTGTTTTTGTTGTTGTTGTTAAAATTATTGTTAACATACTTTTAATTATTTGGTCTCAGAAAATTTGAGAAAATATTTGTTATTATCAGGAAGTGCCCTGCGCAAATTTTGGACAGTTTTATTAGAAATTCTAATTTTGTTTCAAAGAATTAATAAAATATAAAAGAAGAAAAAGATTGGTGCTACGTACTTCATAAGAAATGTTGGAAGACTTGATACTATTGCAAGTTTTTGTGTTCTGAATGAAGAATTTTGTTTCTCGGATTATTGTATACATATTTAAATTTGAAAGAATAAATGCTGTACTGATTGGCATAGTATGTCTTTCACTATACCAGACTGAATTTGATATAATATTTTTAACTTGAGGAATATTTATGTTAGTCTCATTAGAATATGGGCTAGATTCAAGTAATATTAGAAAAAAAGCTAGAAGATTTTAGCTCTTGATATTTATGGAGACTTGCTTGTTGAAGACCTCAAAAAATAGGTTCAGTAATTACTATGCATCACTTTGAGATAGCCAACTAGTACAATGAAGCTGTATCCCTCAGAAGGTTAATATTTCCAGAATTGACATTCCATAAGGCTGTTATTACTAGAGATTCCAATAGCTTTCATGAAAGATTAACAATCCAAGGGTGCCATTGTTGGAAGCACTGTTCATGGAGAAATAGACAAGAGTCTTAAGATAACACATTTTCTGAACTTCAGGATTCCTTAGCACCTATGCTGTGTATTCTTGTTTCATTATTGCTTTTCTCTGTCTAGGTCTATACGATTTACTAATTAAAGATGATGTTTAAACAGTGAATATATAAGAAGATATTATATGGTACTAAATTGATTCATCTTTCACTGTTGCTTTATAGAAACAATCACTGAAACCATTTCACCTAGAAAGTCGGAAGAACCTTTTTATAATAACAGCTATAATCCCTTTAAAGAGGTACAAACTCCACAGTATTTGAACCCATTTGATGAGCCGGAAACTTTTCTAACTACAAAGGATTCTCCTCCCCACTCTACCAAAAGAAAAAACATAAGACCTGTGGATATGAGCAAATACCTGTATGCTGATAGTTGTAAACCTGAAGAAGAGTTGGATGAGTAAGTACCTTTCATTTTGCTGTCATCATGTCAGTCTCTCTGTTAACTACAGAGATCTTCTGTAATATACCTTTCAATGAGTTAAAAGAAATAATAATATATAGTTTATAAGTTAGTATCTAAGTGCCTCACATTTGAGTTTTTGTGATCTTAAGTCTTATTCTCCTGCCCTCTTCTGTATGAGTATATGTTTACCCTCAAGTGACAAGCAAAGAAGGCAATGTTCCTGGAATCTCTGGTTGAATTCTTTGTGATAGAAATAATGTTACAGTGTGGTGGTTTTAATTCAGACAGCACAGGCATTCTATTTCAATTAGTGTAGTAAGTCTGTTGTGAGAGCAAAATAATAATTTATGATATTGAAGACTTGCTCAAATGATTGACAAGGTCATAACATTAGTGAATTACAGTCTGTTGGGCTACAGACTGTGGCCAGGAGTATGTTTGAACAATAGAACTACCATTTGTAGCCATGATAGAGTATCCCATACTAGATTTAACCTCTGATCTTATACAATCAAAAAATGAAATAAAATACTTGAAGCAACAGTTTGCAGACATTGTACACAAGCAGCACGAAACAATGGTCTTTGAGAAAACAGCAGCCAAGAAGCTGAGTTCTGCAAATACCCAACCTTGTTTATTAAAAACAGTTTCCAGCTGTAGTTCAGGAAGAGTTAATATACCTAAATTGACGCAACAGACTTTGAACTTTGGGGTACCAAGGTAGCTAAAATTTTTGGATTGATTGTCAGAGAAAGAGCTACTAATAGGATTCCAGAGATCTGTAGCAGGCTTCTCCCAAATCATCAGCTGAGTATTTGTTCATCAAAGCATGAATATAAGGCAATTACAAAGGAAAAAGAAATACTGAATGCAATTCCTTGAATTACCCAGAACTGAAAATAGTTTGTTTTTGTACCAGTGAGAATAAAAAAGACTTTGTAACTCATAGGATATCAAGTGCAATCCTAAGAAGGGTTTTGCTTCATAAAGGGGAATCAAATTAGCCCTTTGGTAAATGCTGTTCTAAGCCTATCCAACAAACTTAAAGGCAGATTTCTGAAAAAGCAAACTAGTTCCAGATAACTTAACCATACCGCATTTAAAGCCTCCAAAATACTTAAGAGAACACAAAAAATTTAACAGCCAAAATTTATTCTGTCTGCCAATCAAAGATTTATCAGGTATTACTTAAAATCAACAGGGCCCTGCATGATAGTCTAGTAGATGAGTCCTTGCCTTGCATCTGCTGGGATCCCATATCCCATATGGTGCCGATTTTGCTGCTCCACTCCCATCCAGCTCCCTGTGACCTAGGAAAGCAGTAGAGGATGGCCCAAAGACTTGGGACCCTGGACCCACGTGGGAGACCTGAAAGAAGCTCCTGGCTCATTTATATGGGTTCAGCTCTGGCAGATATGGCCATTTGGGAAATAAACCAGCAGATAGGAAAATCTTTCTCTCTGTTTCTCTTTCTCTCTGTAGATCTGCTTCTCCAATAAAAGAAGTCTTTTTTTAAAAATCAAATGATAGCTGCTGGCTAGAATCTACTGGTGGGGGGTAGAGAGTGGTGCAGCTGATGTAGAATCAGTATGGAGAGTGCTCAGACAAATGACAGTTGATCTACCATATGACCTGGACATGTCATTCTTGGGAATATATCCAGAGGAAATGAAGGTAGCATGCAAGAGAGCAACATGCATACCTATATTTATAGCAGTACAGTTCACGATAGTGAAGATGTGGAGACAGCCCAGATGTTAGTCAGCAGATGAATGGATAAAGACACTATAGTACATCTACTCTATGGAATGGTACTCAGCTATAGACAAGAATGAAATCCTGCTATTTACAACAAAGTGGTCCCAACTGCAGACCACTGTGAAATAAACTCCCCAAAAACAAATATCATATGTTCTCTCTAATATAAGACAGCATATAAGCAAATGAAGAATATTACAGAGACGGCCAAACTGCGAAGTAATATTACAATGCATGTCTCCCAAATAAAGTAAAACTTCCATTTTGAAATATATAAAAATAGAATATATAAATATATATACCTGAATGCCATGATACTAAATATTCTACACATCATGATATCTAGCACATCATGATACATTTAAATAACAAAAAGTTAATCTTGTAACTGTTACTAAGACACTATACTACTATATTCATTCGGGAATAATTGAGAGAATACTCCTATAGCTACAAAACTGCTGTGGTAAGGAATATACACACGCAAACGTGTATATATGTAAAAGACTTATCAGGCATGTAAAGAAGCAGGAAAATCTGACTTGTAATAGAGAAAAACTTATTCATTGGATGTAGAAGCAAAAAATGGGAGAGACAATGAAATAAACAAGCACGGTAGAATAAAAATTGTAAATATATTTCAGATACCTATGAAAGCAGAAGAAAATATTAGTATGGGTGATATTTTTTTAAATGCAAACAGAATTTGTAGATATGAGAAATACCATGGATGGGATGAACTTTATGTTAGAAACTACGGAAGGAATTATTAGCAAACCTAAAAGCATAGCGATAGAAACTTTCCTGATTGAAACTCAGAGGAAGAAAATGAGCAGAGGATAAATGAATTGTTGAATGACTTCAAGTGGCCCAACAATATATGTAACTGGAATTTTAGAAGGATTCAAAGGAAGGGATAGTGGGACAAAAATTACATTGGAAGAAATAATAACCAAAAGTTTTAGAGGTGAAAATATACATAAACTTACTGATGCAAGAGGCTGAAAAAAACCTCAAGCAAAAGAAACATCAAGAAAACCATAGGAAGATTTCTCAATAAAAATAGTTCAAACTAGGGGACAGTGTATCCATTAAAAAGTATGGAATGCAAAAAACAAAAACAAAAATCTGTTAACACAGATTCCTATTTCCTACCCCCCCAAAAGAAAAAAGAGCAAAATATGAACAATATCTTTACATAAAAGGATTCCTTCACATTAAATTTTCATTGCAAATATGTTGGCATGGGGGAGGGGAAACAGTACCATAAGAAGAAGTCCTTCATGTATGAGGAAAATTTGGATCACGACAAAAGAGTAAAGAACACAGGAAATAACATGTAAATTTATATATATTAAATAATTGCTGTATTTTAAAAAATCTGCTAGAAGCTGTTTAAGGCTTACCTAGTCTTGTATTTAGGTTCTATAATCTGAAGTAAAATGTATGGCCTGATAGTGTCAAGACTGACTTGGGAAATTGAAGTATACCATTTTTAGCTTCTTAAACATAATGCTACTTGAAAATAGCCTGTCTGTTTTTCACAGATGGCATAATTTTTTTTGTAGAAAACCATAAGGAACCTCTAAAAAAGGCTGCTTGAACTAAAAAGTAGGTTTAACAAGGTTATAGGTTATAAGATCACTGCACAAATTCAATTACATTTTTCTTTGGTAACAATGTATAATCATAAATAGAAATTTTTTAAGTGCTCTGTATGAAAGTATCCAAAACAAAAGTAACAACAGCCTCAGGTAAATTTAAGCAAATATTTTTAGTGACTGTAAACCAAAACCAAGAAAATATTACTGAAAGAAATTAAAGCCCAACATTGATAGAAAAAAACTAAGATTATGAATTAAAAGATTAAGTTCTTTTTCACGGCTTTATAAACGTGTTGCTGGGTAAGAAGAATTCTCCAGATAAAACCAATGGGAGGTTGATCAAGCACTCAGTTGATACATATATAGATAGATAGATGAGGAAATTTATTAAGAAAATAGGCTTTGGTAGATTATGCAGGCAGAGAAGTCACACAATAGAACATATGCACCCTAAAGATCCTAAGATGCTTATAGGATGGTCCATTTACCATCCAAAGGTCTGAGAACCCAACAGGAAGTGGAGTTGCTGTTACAGGGTCTAGAGTTTAAGAGCTGCAAAGCCTGGCTGCTGTTATCATCATCATCATCATCATCATCATTAGAAATGCAAGATTTCCAGAGAGAAGGAGAGAGGAAGATCTTCCATCCACTGGTTCACTCCCCAACTGACCATAGCAGCTGAAGCTGAGCCAGTCCAAAATCAGGAGCAAGGAGCTTCTTCTGGGTCTCTCACGTGGATGCAGGGTCCCAAGGCTTTGAGCCATCCTCTTCTGCTTTCCCAGGCCACAAGCAGGGAGCTAGATGGAAAGTAGAGCGGCAGGACATAAACCACTGGCCCATATGGATTCCTGGCATGAGCAAGGCAAGAATTAAGCTATCTGGCCACCGTGCTGGGCCTAAAGCCTGGTATTGTACTGCTCAAGAACAAGGTGCATCACAGCTCCAGGAAAAGGAGGCGAGGTTATTTTGCCTTACCTCTATTTTTATTATATCCAAGACCCTATCTGTGGGAAGGGGTATGCCCACATTTAGAATGATTCTTCCTTGCTTGATACATTCAGACTCAATGTCAGTCTCCACTGAAATACATGTTCTCTAGATATTAATCCATTAAGGTGACACCTAAAATCAACCACCACAGGCAGTAAACCAGACGAAATTTTACAAGCATTTTATAGTTGTGAGAAATATCCTCACCTGGTTTTTCAAGAGCCATACTTGGGCTCAGGAAGTGTAACAGAAGTGAGAATTTATTACTTGTCTTAAAAGATCAGGTGTCTGATGAGCAGGCATACCCCAGGCAGTTACACTGTGTAACTTATATTCTGGTATTCAGGTTCCTCCCTGGTTCCTCGTTGACAGAATACTATGGGATATAGAATCTTCCCAGATTTCACCTAAGTTACGGTTACCTTCCTACTCTGTACGTTTACTTTCCTCTTGTCAGTTGGCTGCTCCAGAACTTCCTGTTTGCCTAATGAATTTTGCTACACATGCAAGTCAGCTAACAGTAATTCTCCATTCTGTGTTGAAAATGGACATTTTCTTATTTAATTGGTAGACTATTTTAAAAATAGCTCTGCTAGTAAGAAATCTAGCATAAGTCACTTCGACTTATGGTAAGACAAAATA